TGGGGGGTTAATTAGGGTTGGGGGGGTAATTAAGACTCGGGGGGGCAATTGGGGAGGTGGGAAGGGGGGGGCAATTGAGACTGAGGGGGTGGGGCTGTGACGTCATTGTGGGGCGATGACGTCATGGTGGGCGGGGCCATGAGGTCATGGTGGGCGGGGCCGTGACGTCATCCCCCCCAATAGGCCCCAACCCCCAGGTGGCCAAGGGCACCCACGTCCTCATCCCATTGGGCGAGAGCTCGGCCACCGGCTGGAAGGCGGAGCTGGAGGAGGAGGAAGGGGCGGAGCTTCCCGGCGGCCCCGCCCTCCTCCTGCGCGTCACCGCCCCGCCCGACGCTCCCATTGGCCGCTACCGCCTCAGCCTCAAGACCCGCACCCGGGCGGGGGAATACGCCGCCCCCTTCGACGACGCCAACGACTTCTTCCTCCTCTTCAACCCATGGTGCCCCGGTGAGGCCCCCCCCCCGTCATTTTGGGGCAAAATCTGACAGATTTGGGCAATCGCGGGGCAGCCATAACCCGGGAGGCCCAGATTCGGTGGTTTCGGGGCTCCCCGGGGGGAAAAAACGGCAGTTTTCAGGCTCCTTGGGGAGAAATGTGGTGGTTTCGAGGCTCCCCAGGGAAAAAAATGACGGTTTCGAGGCTCCCCGGGGTGAAATGTGGGGGTTTTGGAGCTCTTTGGGGTGAGATTTGGGGGTTTCAGGGCTCCCTGGGGTGAAATCTGGTGGTTTCGGGGCTCCCCAGGGGAAAAAACCGGCGGTTTTCAGGCTCCTTGGGGAGAAATGTGGCGGTTTCGAGGCTCCCCAAGGCAAAAAATGACGGTTTCGAGGCTCCCCGGGGTGAAATGTGGGGGTTTTGGAGCTCTTTGGGGTGAGATTTGGGGGTTTCAGGGCTCCCTGGGGTGAAAAGTGGCGGTTTCGGGGCTCCCAGGGGCAAAGTGTGGCAGTTTTGAGTCTCCCCGGGTGAAATTTGGCAGTTTCGAGGCTCCCCGAGGTGAAATTTGGCAGTTTTGAAGCTCCCCGAGGTGAAATTTGGCAGTTTCAAGTCTCCCCGAGGTGAAATTTGGCAGTTTCAGGACTCCCTGGGGCAAAATGTGGTGGTTTCAAGTCTCCCCGGTGTAAAATTTATCAGTTTCAAGTCTCCCCGAGGTGAAAAAAAGGCAGTTTCAAGGCTCCCTGATGTAAAATTTGACGGTTTCGAGGCTCCCCGGGCTAAAATTT